GTGAATATCTGATCCGCACATCCACGCCCAGCTCGGAATCCGGCTTGGTTGGACAAAGTAACTCGTAGATTGGTTAATGGAAGGAATGTATTTAAGGGATAACAGCTTCACTTTTTAATTTTGGCTCCGATTGGCGGAAAAACAACTGGGTGTTACGTCCCATTTAAGTATGCTTCTTTGAAACGGGAAAGATAATTTAACTCGAGGGAGAAAGCCTTCTTCCTTTAATACAATAACTTAACTGTACCTTAGGTTACAAGAACGGGTAGACGTAGAATCAACGAAGCAGCCAGTTTGAAAAAAGAACCAGCGCACATTTGCCAAGGATTTTAATAGTCAACGTTTCTGCTTGAGTTAACCAGACAAACGCCAGTGCAAACCCTAAATTCTCATCCACCATCCCAATTTTATCATTTGCAGATTCTTTGCCGATATATGTGTTCGTGCTGTTATTGATGGATGCCTCGGCGCCCTTAAACGCGGGTGATCGGTCGAACACGGACCAAAGTGACTGTTGAAAGCCTAGCAGATAATGCCGAAAGTTCAGTAAGACAACACTTACTGGACGCTGACCGTAATGCCGACTACCCTTGGGCCCCTACTTTCCTCTTTTCGACACGGTGACCCACCTGGAGATCAGGATGTTGCTTCGCAAAGACTCGACATTTTCTAAGCAGTCGGAATTCGTGGCTAACGTCGTGCTGGCCTTGTACCAAACCAATAATGCTTGTCTAGCGAGCATTATATCACGATTATTTATGTCTCCCTGGAGATTCGGAGGCTGTAGCATGCGTTTTCGCAATGTGCTCCAAAAGGAGTCGACGTTTGCGAGGAATAGTCTTTTTCGGAGCTCATTAATGTGTTATTGTTGACAACTGTAATCAATGGCATTTATCTTGGGTTCTTGTGAAGGAAATGTGTTATACCTTCCTCTACTTCTAGGTGCTCGGCAATGATATCCTTGAACGCTCAAAGCAAACCAATCTGCTGGCGACCTTCCTCACACCAGCGACCATAATGGTGGTATCAGTCACCGCCTCTACAACGCAGGGAAGTCCGCTGGAACCAGACGTCCTGAAGCGAGCCACTGACGCCTGTGTTATGGCTATTGAACTCTGTGAGATGCGAGCAACTATCCTGGCCTACGTGGAGTCTCGCATGTCTCTCATCTCACCAAATGTCAGCGTACTCATTGGAGCGTCGACTGCCGCAAAACTGATGGGTATGCCACCTTCTGTTCGCTGTTTCCGCACCCACCTTGTTAGCTCCTGTTCGAGTAGCCTCTTTCACTTCAGAAAGCATGCAGGCGCTTTCGTCGAACTGCAGGCTTTTCGGCCTCGTGGCTTTCACTGACCGACATGTCCTATGCTTGCACGCAAACTGAAGTTAAAGTGACGACCTGGAGGACTCTTTATGTCGAAGTAGACGGAGTCTTAGGAAAGAAGTCACGTAGTACCACAGTCGTATATCAGTTAAGCGCGCAGATTTCATAATTTTTAGAATTCATTTGGTTGCGTAAATGTTATAACAAAACGACATCATTTAAAGACGAGACAATGCAATTTCGACTTTCTGCGTTGCAATGGCAGATTTGCGTAGAGGAATAAGGAAGGAAAGTGGTGGCTGAATTTGAAAAACTCACGAAAGCTCTTACCTGCAAAAGAAGCATATCCGCGCCGAATCGTCTCACCGGCCAAGAAAATAAAGGCTTTCGATCGGGGTTCAGCTTTATTATCCTACTTAATACCCCCAGCCAGCCATAATCTCCTGTCGTTTTTTCCCCCACCCATGTCTCCTTTCGCCTGGCTTAGTGTTCCACCGGACCTTTGTCTTCTATGCCGGATCTTCAGTTCAATATAACGAAAATTATTATTTGAATCGTGGCTGATAGCACAGTAATACAGTAATAGCACAGTAGTACAGTGATAGGTCAAACACTTTCCACCGCATTGGCACTGCATTATCTTGCGGGAGCTCCTTTAGAACACTACTTGCGTGTTACATTGCGCGTTTTTAAGCTACAGGATCTTTTGCAAGAGTAAACTACCGGATTCAACTCCTCGCTTATCACCCATCATGATAATTGTATTCTGGTTATTTGCAAAATATCCTCTAATGGTTATTTACGTACACCTATCGAGTTCTATCCTGAAGCCATTGGAATTTTAGAAACTCCAATTAAATTGTTCTTCTTTTTGCCCTTCATGTCTATTTACTACTTAAATGTCCAATTCTGGGTGGGTCAATTATGTATTGGAACCCAGTCTTGCTCAGACGTCGACCACCCGGGCCAAAAGAAGAAGATGCGATCACTGGAACAAGACATTAATAAATATATAAATACCGTGCAATATGTGTATGTATCACCCCAATCTGCGCATTTCTTACACTATCCTACGATTACCTATGATTAAGGATTATCGACAGAATCCCAAAACGACAGGCAAATAAATTTCCTGTTCCGGTGCTCGCATCTTCTTCTGAATTGCTTCCTGGAACTCACATATTCGCTACTATCGGCACCCGGGTCAACTTGTGTGAACGATATTGCGCATTTCTTTAACCACCCGATATATTATCTGATGCGCGCCTTTCCTGTGTTATCTGCCGTCTGTTTCCTAACTACTATGCCTCGGACCGCACGGTCAGTCCAGTGTGTGTTTTGTTGTGTAAAGTGGAGGGCTGAGAGTCAGACTGCAATGGCTCCTTCTTAATGTGGCCGCTGTGGCACTCCCACGTAAATGGGATGCTAGCCAGGTGTTGTGACACACATAAGGGGGGGTGGCCTCGCACCCGATCCTGCTTCTGGTCTTCTAGAAACCGGGCCCAGGTGGGTGAAGGAAGACAGGGTGCTACACAGGTCTACTTTCACTATAATCCGGCAGTACCTTGCTGTGGAGCAGTCCGGGGGGACAGCGTCGAAATCGACGGTCGAACTGTTAGGTCTCTACGAGGCAAGCCCAACTAGGTGTTCCCCTCGTAGCGCGAGGTCATTAGCTGTATCGATTAGTGATGTATCACTTTTTACGATTGCATACAGGTCTCGGGTCTGGGCATTATTCTATTGCCTTGATAACCCACCTCCCCGATTGTTTTGTCAAGTCAGCACCTGTTTACGTTTTATCCCTTTTTTCCAGGTCATGCGGGTGGACTGACGGCTCTCTCCAAGATGCCCTCATGCAACATCCTGGTGTTGGGCGCTCAAAAACGCTGTCTCTCCGGCTTCAGCAGTAACGCCTCTCTGCCGCACACTGGCTATATCTACCACTCCGACATGGTGCAAAAGCTGCCTCCAGACCTGCGAATCCGAGCTTCACGCCTACTCGCCAACAAGGTCACCCTTGCTGCTCGCGTGGACTCATTTCACCAATCGCAGGTACTCTAGGTTACCGAGTACATATCCGTTGGCAGTATTCATGATATAAGTGACGGGGTGACGCTGACAGTTAGTCAAGGAGTTCGATATTTTTATAGTCTCCAGGTTACTGACTTCTCCATCTTTATCGTAGATAGTACGGTATAGGTGGAGACAGAAGATTTGCCCTCTCAGCCTACTTTTGCCATGATTTTCAACCCACAGGGGTCATCAGGACTCGTAAAATATTGAATAAAATATTTAGGCATACTTTTAAATAGAAGTGATTGTTTACACATTACTTCAATGTGTAAATTTAATTCATCAGTAATGGGGGGTCAGTTTTTGGGCTATCATCAAAGTAACGCCGCCTATTCACCGTTCTTTGTAAGAAATTGTGCAAAAATTTAATTTTTTTCACTAAAATCGTCTCTGATATTTTAGTGTTAAGTACATGAGCGTTTTATTATTTACCAACTCCAGTAACTCGCATGCATATTCAGAGACGTTCGAATGCACTTGTTCCTGAGGTTTCCAAGCCGCCCACCGTGTATGGAGGGATTTCCGCTAAGCTGTAATTTCTCTTTCCGAATGTGGCCTTTATAATCATCGCCACTTTGGAGGCCTTCATAAAGATTGTTTTGTATGGATTGTCCAATTTTCATGTTTTTACTTCAACATCGGGACATGGCGCTTGTGGTAGTACAGTGTGAGGCAGGTACCGCGATTGTCTGCTTTACCCCCCTCCCATGTTCGGCATTTGTGATCGGCGTCCAACTTGAATAGCGCCTGCCGTACCCTGATCTGGCCTCCGTGTTGGTCCAGCACCTCTACCGCGCGGCTACCTTGCAACCTTTGTTTCTTTTTTTTCCGATGATTGCTTTACTACTTTTTGTCCGATTTTCAGGCAAAATGTTACGCTGACCATGCATACTTCTGTATATTATATGTTCCTCACCTTTTTTCCAGGATGGAACTATCGGTGAACAGTTTCTGCTAGAGGTTGAAAAGAAAATCGACAAATGGCAGGAACCTCCGCCAGTGAAACAAATCAAACCGTTGCCCGCTCCATTGGATCCACCAGCAAAGTATGTTTTACTGTTTTTTAATTTCATTGCTAAATTTGAGTAAATCAATATATTGACTCACCATATTGACAGCACAAGTACTAACTGAAAGCCCAGACACCTGTTTAGTCAATGTTCTGCGTTGCTTGACCCAAATGCGAGGGGTTCGGCTTATCACTAGGTTCCCGGCGTTCCATGTAGACTTTCTGCTAGATACTTTAGTTTTGTAATTTTTGCTGTTTATTTTACTCAGCCGTTAATCTCCAACTTGAAGTAGCTTAATCTATTCGTAGGTTTTGGCCGTAGACTGAAAGTTGCTCTGACTTGTATCAACCACCGCTTAGAAATCTATTGTCCCCCTAACAAGCCCTCAATTTCCCTTTCCCAGTTACCATTCGTTTTGAATTTTAGACGGCAGCATATGTATCCCAAATAAGTAAGAAAAAGAGCGATCACAGATACCGTGAATTTAATACCCAACTATTTGAAAGGGAAGCAAGATTTTATTGTCAGAAGTTAACTTAGTACCGCGCCTCAGTGCTTGAAGGATATCGCTCATGCTGATATTTCGGGCTATGTGTGGGCTGCACTGCGAGGGGGTTGTTGTCGTGAGTGCAGTTATTCTCCCTTTCTCCATCAGTGAGCGACGGCTGGGCCACAGCGTTTATTGTCTTCGTTTACATTATCCGTACTGCTTGTCCAGGGCCCGTGTACCCCATCCTTGCTCCCTGTTTGCACCTGTGCGCACTCGTGTGGTTGGTACGCTAGTGCCAGGCATCCGTTTAAATATGGTTGACGGTCCTATTTCTCACCCGCTACCTGTGTTGAAGTCCGAAAGGAGGCCTGGTTATGCCTTATCAACTTTCTTCCGCAGATTGAGTTGCACGCGTGTGACTTGGTAAACCGTGGATGGAAGTGGTTGATAGAGGTTGTCTTGATTGCAGCTCTGATTCTCTTATCGCTCCCGCGG